GGGGGGGTCGCTTTTTCCACCAGGAAGCCAGTCAATCTAAAACAGAAAACAGAGTTCGACTCAGTTATATGATATCCCGTTAACATGCACCAGCATGACCGTTGTAATTTTCTCACCAGGAAGCTATGTTCACTCTCTTACCCAGATTTTTATCATAATCGTGTAAATGGTTACGTGTTGTGTAAAGGGTGGTGGGAGGGGGGGGGTGAATGAATAGGTGCCCGAATGGTGGAAAAGCAATACTAGAACGCAGAGTGTTGATACGATGTTTTGTTCCAGAAGTTGGTGGAAGAACATTATTGCTGTCTTCTATAGGGGAATCAATTTAGGGCATGTTATCATATCTTATCCTATCTTATCTTAGCTAATCTTGTCCTATCTTATCGTATTTTATTTCATCTTATTTTGTCCTCTCTTATCTTGTCATATCTTACCTTATCTTATCTCTTCTAATCTTGTCTTGTCTTATCTTATTTTATTTTATCCTATCTTGTTTTGTACTGTTTTGTTTTATCTTATCTTGTTTTATGTTATCTTATCTTGAACTAATCTGATCTGATCTTACCTTATCTTGTCTAGTATTGTCTTGCCTTGTCTTGTCTCGTCTTGTCGTGTCTTGTCTTATCTTTATCTTTATCTTTATCTTATCTTTATCTTTATCTTTATCTTTATCTTATCTTATCTATCTTGTTTTTTCTTATCTTATCTTGTCTTATCTTATCATGAAACAGGTGCGTCTCGTCAGGCATCCATCTGCAGCTGTCGGATTTGAATCCATCCCTTCAAAGTTTGGTCAACTCCACCTCTGACCTCATGGATACAACCTATGCCTCTTCCTCATCGGCTCACCCAGACCACTGCTGGGTGCCCACCCAGATTGAAATCCCCCTCAATGTAACGATAAGTGTCAACGTGAGTGCGGAGAGGCTTTTAGGCAGTCACGTGACAGCACTCGCCAGGACTGGCGTGCCAGAGGCTGTTAAATGTCAAGAATGGAGATACGACCGTTCGGAAATTGAGTCATCCATCATGACTGAAGTGAGTTACCCTTACGTGTTTAGATCTATTTATAAAATAATATATTTTAAAAAAAACAATAATGTTGACGGTACGTTATTTCAAAATTACAATGATCTATCTGCTCAGTACTCAGTACCTAGTTTTGATAATTTAATGTTAAAGATTTTAAGTTTCACAACAATATCAAGCTTTTAAAATGCATTTCTTTGTATATCTTGATAAACAACTCCGAATAATTTTATGATTTGGATAAAGCAGATAGAAAATTGAGTTTAAGATCCCAAGGTTTTTATCTCAAAACGGCCAAAAATGTCCGACAGAGCTTTGTAATTCTGAGGCTGACATTAGTATGGAGAGTAGGGAAAGGGGGGGGGGG